AGTAAAACTTCAAGCAAAAATTCAAATGAAGACTAGAGACTATTCACAGGCATATGACATACTAGTTCACATTGTTTGATGAGATCCATCTATCTCCATGGTTGCACATAGATCAATATTTTATAAAGATTTAAAAAGGGTCACATCAATGATTTTTTACAATGTTGAAGATAAGAACAGAGATGCTACTTTTTTATGTCAATTATTGGGAGAGTATGTTATCACTTGTTTCAGAGATGAGAGTATGACGTAGAGAAGAGAACCTTGTTGTTGTAACTAGACTCTTAGTCTCTTCACTTCTTTGTTGCAGAAGTTCAAGCGAAGGTTTTTTTTTTTTTAAATGAAACTAAAACGAGCAACCTTTTCATGTTGAAGAAGTAGAAGATCTTCCTACTACAAGCTGCTGAAAAACTTCTCTTCTTTCATCTCTCTTTTTTCTCTTCTTTCTATATGCTTATGATTGTGGGATGCATATTTCCTTCTAAGCTTTTATTTATAATAATATATAATGCATTTCGAGATATAAAGTTTATTTCAAGATCAACAAGATATCGTAAAATAACTTGAGTGAATAAAAGATCTCATTGCTTCGCTTAAAATTAATAAATTAGTTCTTCAAGACCTTTATAAGACTATCAAACTATGCTTATATCCTTCAAAAATATACTAGTGAAATAACCATATATTGTGAAGATTTTATCTATAAGGAAATTTTTGCACCATATGATTCACAATAACATTTTTTAGAGCTAATTTTTGATGTACTTGCGTGGAGGTATGTGCCTCAACAACTTTTTAGGCCAGACCTCATTATTATCATTTGTGGATAGTAACTAAAAGTTTGCAAAACTTTTTCTTTTGGACGAGTATAAATGCTTGTGAATATGTCAGCCAGATTTTTTGCTACTTTTATGTTGATGAACTGAATACCTCCTCATTTGAGTAAACTTCGTAAGCAGCATTTTTAAAGTTGTATGTATTTTGTCTAAGAGTATAAAACTACATCCTTTGCCAAATGAATCATTCTTTGGATGTCACAAAGAGTGCAGTGCTTTCTAGTGCTTTGTGAAGTTCGTTTAAGAACCTTTTGAGTCAAGCCAGTTCTTGGTTTTAGTGATACCTACGTATATAGCTTTGTAGTTGATAGTGAGGCTATCTTTTAAAATTATGATACTCTAATGATAGTCGTACCAGTCATTCAATTTATAGAAAGATAAAATGGTTATAAAAGTGGAGATTGAGTAAGAAAAATAATTTTCTCTCATTAACTTGTCTCATCATTTTTTTCTTTCTTCCTTCTTTTTGGTCTTTTCCCCATTCTTTCCAGTGCTTAATGAACAAATTTGAAACAGTGATAGGTTGTTGAGTAACTTTATTGACTTGAGAAAGAATAAAATTTGTGATTTGAATGCTCAGATGATATGAATATTTCATGTTTCTAACTAGTTTTTTACCTTGTTGGTGGGAAATAGATAAAACATGTTGTGAAATTTAAGGCAAAACAACACAAATCCAGAAGAAGAACATAAAAATTTAACGAGGTTCGGCAAATATGCCTACATCCTCGGGAGCAGATCGTCGAATTTCACTATTTCAAAGGAATTACATACCCATAGGGTTACACATCTATTTATAGATAAAACCCACAGATAAATTTACAAACACGCCCTGCTTCCCCAACCCACTAATCCAAGAGACACATCTCTTCACACCATGAGACACACCTCTTCATTCCAGGAGACGCCTCTTTAAATTCAAGAGACTCCAAATTCCTGCTATATGAGTCATACCTAACAATTCTCTACCTTGGCGAATATTCAGCCTCATAGGAGAAAATCTCCATCTTGCGAATATCCAGCCCATTAGGAGAAAAACATCATGGAGTTTCTTACACAAAAGTGGTTTGGGTAACAATGCCAACTAACAATTACAAACAATCAACAAATTCAAGTAACGCAATAACTTATTGAAAATACATGGCTTGGTCAACTTTTCTGCTGCATTTTCATTATATGATCCGATAGAGTGAACTCCACCTACAACTGTACTCCCCAACATTTTATGGATATTACCACTAGGTTTCACTTGCAATGCCTTCAAAATTCTTTGTTGTGCCAACAAATCTTTCACTTTTATTTGTCATAATCCAAAATTCTTTGTTTTATCAAACTTCATTATCTCGAATTTTGCACCAGACATTGTCATTTGAAATTAATCCTGCAGTGAACTTTTTCTGTCTTGTATTGAAACAAAACACACCACAAATAAATTTAAATAAACTTGAAATTTCCTCTGTCAATTGCAGCAATTATCTTGAGTTTCCTGTGATTCGGGAATTAAATTTTTCACACGGAACACCTTTCCTGTTCGCACAAAAATTCGGCTGAAATACTGCGAACACCAATCAAATTCCACCTGTCACAATTTTTCTTGCGACAAACCTGCGAACAATCCGCGAAATTCGCGAACTCCACCAGTCGCAATTCCTCTTGCAACAAACTTGCGAACTCTGCTGGCGAACACCACCTGTCGCAACTGCACTTGCCGCAACTCCTCTTGCGACAAACTTGCGAACTCCGCTGACTTAGCACCACCTATCGCACATGTCGCAACTCCACTTGTGACAAGCTTGCGAACTCCGCTGGTTAAGCACCACCTGTTGCAACTGCACCTGCCGCAACTCTACCTCCGACAAACTTGCGAACTCTGTTGGCTAAGCACTACCAGTCGCAACCTTACCTACCGCAACTTTACTTGCGACAAACTTGTGAACTCCTCTAATCGAGCACCACTTGTAGCAACTGCACCCACCGCAACTCTTCCTGCGACAAACTTGCGAACTTCATTGTCCGAACTCCTCTGTTTGCGCAAACTGCACGCGAAGTTTTGTTCACGAATTCCACCACGCTGAACATCGTGAAGGTTCGTGAACTGTTGCGCCTCGAATCCTGTGAGCGCCGATCGTCTTGTTGCAATGCTGCCCCGAGTTTGTCAAACTCCCCTGACCACAGGAACTCCTTCCTGCAAGCAATCACTTCGATTTACGAACTAGTGTGACGATTCATGAACTCCTCCGCAGCCCCCTTCACAAACTGTTCTGTGAGCTGTTTCTTCGCTCCGGCAAAGTAATTCGCTTCGAGGAAATAAGTTTTCTGCTGAGGCTTAGAAATCAAAGATTCCTTTATTCATTCCCTTCCTTCCCAGAGAATATTCCTCCAGATTCCTTATCCCTTCCTTATTCGATCCCGGAATGCTTCAGCCTGCTCGCGAACCAAAAGACGAACGCCGCGAGCTCTCGCACTACCCCTCTCCTCCGCTCTCCTCCGCTCTCCTCCGCAGAAACTGTGCCGCAAATCCTTAGCCCTGTGGCGTTCGCGTGAAGCCTGCGGACCTCCGAATTCGCCTGTCGCGGAACTCCTCGCAAAGCGTCCCAATGCGTCTGTTACTTCCTGAGTTTGTCGCGAACGAACGAAGTCGTCCGAAGCGTCTCGCACCTTCGCGACTCGTGACTCCTCTGTCCGCGCGCGTAGTCTGCGACACGGAAATTCGCGAACTGCCGTGTGCCGCGAACCTCCGCTCGTGCGCGTGAAGTCTCCTCTGTCGCGATCTAAGCCGCCGAAACATTCTCCATGTCGTGATTCGAAGATCCTCCCTGCGAATTCCCGCGAACCCCGAACCGCAAAACCGCCGAACTTTCTTTTTCTTCCTAAGCTGATCTCCTCACTCTCTAATACCGATTGTTGAAATTTAAAGCCAAACAAAGCAAATCCAGAAGGCGAACACAAAAAATTATTGAGATTCGGCAAAGATGCCTACATTATCAGGAGCAGACCGGCGAATTTCACTATTTTAAAGAGTTATATATTCATAGGGTTACACATCTATTTATATATAAAACTCATTGATAAATTTACAAACACGCCCTCGCTCCCCCCAACCCACTAATTTAAGAGATACACCTCTGCACACCAAGATACTTAGAGTCATGTTCCGATCCTGGGACTTGTGGGTTATCTGTGTGTTTTATCTACAAATAGATGTGTAACCCTATGAGTGACATAGTGAAATTCGTTGCTCTGCTCTCGAGGATGTATGCATCTTTGCCGAATCTCGTTAAATTTTTATGTTCTTCTTCTGGATTTGTGTTGTTTCGTCTTAAATTTCCTCAATTAATAAAATCCTCTGCAACTCTGTAGATGTAGTCAATTTGCCGAACCACGTAAATTTGTGTGTTCTTTTGGTGTGAATTTTCTCGTTCTATTTTTTGCTTTGTCGTCGATCATCCTATTTTAATATACCACAACAAAACCTTGTTCAAATACCATGGTCTAAAAAATAGTATAGAAAACAAAAAAGAAAATCAAAGCATACAAGTGTAATTTAATACAGTTTAACTCAATTTTGGCTACGTCATGTTGTTGCTACTAGGGATTCTGCTTTGATATGATTATTGAAAATTATAACCTTGATTCTTCCAATATAAAGATAAGACAGGCCATTTTTTTTAAATAAACCTTGAGCAACTAAACATAAAATAAAACTCTTAAAATGGGCTTAATGAAATGACTCACGACCGAGTCTTTGTAACAAGGTTTTTTTTTTTTTTTGCAATGCAAAAATTAGAGCAATGCAAAAATTAGATTTTTTTTGCAATGCAAAAATTAGATTTCACAACTTAACAGGTGCAACTGCTGACATATTGCTACAGTGATCATTTTGGTGGTTATAAGGATTCAGATTTTTTAGTTGAAGAATTTAGAGTGTACGTATGATTATTGTTGTTTTATTAAAACCCTATCTGCATGCAAAGACGAAATCCCAAGAGAACCATAATGCGATTAGCTACACATCCGAGCTAGAAAACTAAAAGTTATATACTAAATGATCGTTCATTACCTTTTTATTAATTCAAAAATTTAAAAGAAACTTTTCTGCCATATATTAACTATTGTGATCGACTGCAAAAGTTGAATTTGTTGTTTCATTATTTATTTATTGAGGTAATTTATCTGGGAAGCTACTTTGGGGTGCCCTTGATGATGTTGTCATGGGAGGTGTTAGTCAAAGCACATTTTTTGTTGATCCTACTGGTAGTGAAGATGGTGGACCTACCGGCATCTTTAAAGGTAAGAGAACTTTTCGCACTTCTTAACTTATTTGGATATATAATAGTTAACACGTTGACTATTTTATCTTTTCCAGGTGTTGTCTCGACCAAAAATAGCGGTGGTTTCACTAGTATCAGGACAAAGGTTTTTCATGATACTATTAGGATTTGTTTGAAATCAATTTTATTTTTTGTTTTTATTTTTTATTTTATTTTTAAAACATATTTTCTTAGTTTATTTTATATGTGTTGTTATTTTATGTTTGTAAAAATAAATTAAAATGTTTTTGAAAATACTCAAAATAATTTTTAGATATTTTGAGTGTTTAAAAGCAACCCAAGTTTAATCAAATAGTCAAACATGTTTTGTTTCAGATCAAAATATAAATAAAAATAAATAAAATAGAAAATAGAAAATAAGAAAACAAAAGTGATTCCAAATAACCCATTAATTTATTTGTTTTTATTCTTTAGGTTAGAATATATGTAAAATAAAATGTTATTGCGGATATTGAATATGTTACATATTTCAACTTTAAGAGCTTGTTTGACATCATTTTTGTTTCATGTTTTTGTGTTTATTTTTTTCTATTTTTCTTTGAAATATTTTTGGTTGGTATAATTTTAATAGGTTTTTATCTTTTGTTTTAAAAAAATAAATTAACTTATTATTAAAAATATTCCATGCACCAGAAATATATTTTGAGTGTTTTAAAAATAACTAGCTCAATCAAATATATTTTTATTTAAATCAAAGTATAAATAAAACAAAATAAAATAAAAAATAATAGTGATCCCAAACAGCTCCTAAGATCTTCAAATCTTACTTGACATAGCTAAAAGTTGTGGAAAAAATGATTTACACAATATAACTTCTAACATCTCTAGCAACGCAACAAGAATGCATAGAGAATAATGATTCATAAAGCCTACCGCAGATAACTGGCATAAGGTTATTGATGTTGATAATCTTTAATTTTTATTCATAATCATTCTGAAAAAATATAAGTATTAAATTTCAGAATTTTCAAGTTCCTGAGGACCTTTCTGCATATGATGGCCTTGAATTGAGGGTTAAAGGTGACGGCCATCGTTACAAGCTTATAGTTCGCACTAGTGCTGACTGGGATACTGTGGGATATACTGCAAGCTTTGTCACTCTAGATGGCCAATGGCAGACGGTAAACATTGGATTTTCCTTGGTGCTATTTTAGGCTAGGGGCATTGACATATATAGCATACAATTCTTATGTATTTACAGATCTCACGGTTAAAGTTTCATATTTATGCAAATAGCACTTAGATCTTTAATATCACATAAAAAATAACATTATCGTCATTTTTTATAAGTTGAATATCCGTTTTCATGCATATATTTTAAGCGCCAAAGTGGTAAGTATGTCAATATGAAAGTTTAGTATGAGATATGTAAATACATATTAGTTGTGTGCTGCATATGTAAATTTCCCTTTAGACTACCACCTTTAATCACTTTTTTTTTTATCCTTTTCAGATTCAAATACCATTTTCTTCATTGAAGCCGGTGTTCCGTGCTCGTACGGTGGTTGATGCTGTGCCATTTGATCCAAAATCTATTTTTTCGCTTCAAGTAAGATATACTTTCTGTATTTACATTAGTTGCTTGCATGGAGGAAAGCTGGTATATGAATTTTCTGCAGCTAATGTACAGTAAGTTTGAATATGATGGAAAACTCAACCCAAATTTCATAGAAGGCGCATTTCAACTTCCATTCTCAAGAATAAGGGCATACATCAATGAGCCAATTACTCCAAGGTTCTGTTTTATTATTGATTTATGTCTCCATATGCTCATTAAATTTATTAAGTTGGGTTGCTTGTTGGGGGCGATGTGGGACGATCGGTTTTAAACAAATTTTCTTAACGTGTTTTAAAAAGCTAAACCCTAAAATAATTCCCAAATGTTAGTAGATGGAGCCTGATTTGAAGCATCCTCCTTTTTGAAGACCGAGCGCCCGATGCTTTTGCTTCGAGCTAAGCACCGAGCGTCGAGCGCTCTAGCGCAGCACAACAGAGGAGGGGATGCTTTAGGTGCCTAGGCGCCCATTATTGGGTGCTCAAGTGCCCAATTTTGGTACACTTTGCTTCCTTAAGTTGTTGTTTTCCCGAATGTAGGGCGCTATGGCACCCAAGTTTGGGCGCTATGCGCCCGTAGCAGTTGATGCAAGATTTTCCGTTCAAGGGCCAATTTTGAGTGGCATGAGTTGTCTTCTTTTGGTGTGTTGTTCTTCGAAAAAAATCTCGGTGAATGTGAGAAGTGTCAAAGAGAAGAATTTCAGTGATTTTGATGTGTGTTTCATTGCATCAGATCAGAGAAAGGAGAGTTTGGAGCGAGGTCCTGTGAGTTTCCTTGAGAGGCAAAGAAATTGAGTGTGTTCTCAGTAAACTCTGATTTTATAGTGGAATTTTTTTGATGGCGTGGCTCCGTCGTTTTTTCTTGTTTTCGGGTATTTCCACATTAAATTCTTGTGTGTTTTTCTGGTTTGCTTTTGTTGTGTTTTCGTTCGTAAGTTTGTTCCAATTTTCTTAAATCTACATTATTCTATTCCGTGGTGAATTTGGAAGGGAATTTTTTTTAGTTCTTCAATACAATGTTATTAGAGCGGTGTTCGATTCGAGTGGGAGCAATGACTGATGAAGCAAGGTTCAAAATGAAGAAGTTCAATGGAACAAACTTTGCATTCTGGAAGATGCAAGTGGTTGATTTACTGTATTAAACAAAATTATATTTGTTACTACAAGGAATTACTATGAAGCTTGAGTCTATGTTTATGGAGAAATGTGAAGTGTTAGATCGAATGGTATTAGGTTTGATTTTGTTGTCACTCTTCTCCTGTGTTGCGTTCGACATAGTAAATGAGAAAATCATGGTGGATCTTATGACAACACTGACAAAGATGTATGAAAAAAGCTTTAGCTTCTAATAAATTTTTTTTTTTATAGAGAAGCTATTTAACATGAAGATGGTGGAAGACAATAGCGATAGAACATCTGAATATTTCAATATTGTAACGAGTCAGTTTTGTTTTATGGGGATCAAGTTTGAAGATACAATCAAAGCACTAGTAATACTATCTTCATTCTCGGACAACCGAGATGGTTTGATCACGACAGTGAGTAATTCTTCAAGGAATTTGAAGTTAAACTTTGATGACATCGTGGATCTGATGCTGAATGAAGAGGTTTGCAGAAAAGCCGCGAATGGTGAATTTTCAGGTTCAACGTTGAATGCTGATAACAGAGGAAGAATTTTAGACAAAAATGCAGGTAGAGACAAATCCAATCCCAAGAGAGAAAAATCTAATTCAAACAGAGGAGAATGTTGAAATTACGGTAAGAAAGAGTCTTTTAAGGACTACAGAACTCCAAGGAAAGTTGGTGGCAGTGGACATGGAATGAATCTATCTACAAGTGTCTCTATTGGTGAAGTCCAAATGACTACCTAGTTTTATCCCTAGTCAATATTGAATCTAGGATAGTAGATTCATGTGTCTCTTTTCATCCGTGACCCAATAAAAAAGTTTTTAAAAACTACAGTTTTCTGGGAGGTAACAAGATTTGTAGTATCGTAGGAAAGAGTAATATTGATATCTGGTTGTCAAATGGAACATTTTGAAAGCTTACTAAAATTAGACATAATTTAAGTTTGAAGTGAAATATCATTTCTATAAGCTAGCTGACAAAGTCAGAACTCGTGATTAGTTTCATAGTGATGGTTCGGGGCAATAATGAAGTCACTCTTTACTTGATCAATGAAATGGCTGATTTCATTAATGTGACCGGAACCAGGGTTGATCAGATGAGCGAGAAATGTATGAAATTTTTTAAAAATAAGCTTCAGGGTTTGAAATCAATTGATCTAGATTTCTGTGAAGACTATATATGATAAGCATAAGAAAGTCTTTTTTTCTAAGAGCAAGCCAGTGATGAAATCAAAAAAATTGAAGTTAGTGGATACTAACATGTGAGATCCCACTCCAGTTTAGTCTATTGAAGGTTCCTATTATTTTGTCTCGTTTATTAATGATCATACGAGAAAATTATGAGTTTATTTCTTAAAGTAAAAATTTGATGTATCTGAAGTTTTTAAAAAGTGGAAGACTGGTGGAAAATGAGACAACCTTGAAGTTGAAGTATCTCAAAACATATAATGGGGGGTGATCATCGTGATCAGAAGTTTATGAAATTTTGTGCTATAGAGGGGTTCAACATGAGGTCACTGTTTCAAGGACACTGCAACAGAATGGTGCGTTCGAGCGCATGAATATAATGATTACGGAGCGTGCGGAGCATGGGGCTGCCTAAATGCTTGCCAAAACAGTTTTGGACTGAAGCAGTAAATACTGTAATTTATCTTATTAATCATGACCCATCAGTACCTTTGGAGGAAGACTTACCTAAAGACGTCTGAAGTAACAAAAATGTAAATCTATCTCATTTAAGAGTATTTGAGTGTTCAACATATGTGCATGTTGATGTAGGTTATGGGATCAAATTTGACTCGAAATAAGTGCACCTTCATTGGGTATGACTCAGACGAGTTTCGATACAAGTGTTGGGATTATCAGAATAAAAAATTCATCAGGAGCAGGGATGTCACTTTCAATCAAATGAAGATGTAAATGATAGGGTCAGAACTCGAGACAACCCATCAATTATTTCTAAAGAGTCCAAATATATTAAGATAGATGACACTAGTGATCATGAGGTGAAGAAAGAAGTAGCGCTCAACCAAAAGGAACATTAGAAGATCCTCAATCACCCTCTACTAAAGTCAGGAGATCCAGCAGAATGATACGACTATGACTTGTACACATGTATTCTCCTTCGTTATACTATTATTACTAACTAATAGTGGTTAACCAGAATGCTTTGAGGAGGTCACTCATGTTGAAGATTCAAGGGAGTGGGAGTGTACCATGAATGAAAAAATGCAATCTTAAGTGTCAAATTAGACTTGGAATTTGATGGTGTTACTAGATGATAAAAGTGCACTAAACAACAATCGGGTTTATAGGCTCAAAGAGGAGTCAAATGATAGTAGGCACTACAAGGATAGACTCGTTGTGAAGAATTTCATACAGAAGGAATGAGTGGATTATACAGAGATCTTTCCCCGGTGGTGAAGATGATAACTATCAGTGTTGTACTGGGTGTGCTAGCAGAGGAAGATCTGCACCTAGAGTAGATGGATGTAAAAATAACTTTCTTACATGAAAATCAGGAGGAATTGTACATGGTGCAACCACATGCTTACAAGATTCCAGACAAAGAAGGTTTTGTCTGCAGATTGAAGAAGAGCATATATGAGTTAAAACAGACTCAAGACAGTGGTACATGAGGTTTGATAGGTTCATGTCAGACAATGGATACATGAAGTTCCAGGCTGACCACTGTTGCATCATCAAACACTTTGGTAATTGTTATATCTTGTTTCTTTTATATGTGGATGACATGCTTATTGCATGAACAAATATGAAGAAAATCATGGACTTAAAGGAACAATTATCATGTGAATTTGAAATGAAAGATTTATGTTCAATCAGGAATCCTCGGGATGAGAGTCAATAGGGACAAGAGTGCAGGAACTCTGAATTTGTCTTCGCTAGAGTATGTTGAGAAGATCCTATAGAAGTTCAACATGAGTGAAGAAAACCAGTTAGCACTCCCTTAGGTAGTCATTTCAAATAATCTAAGGAGGTATCACCTAACTTTGAAGCAAAACAAGCACAAATAGATAAAACTTTGTATACTTCAGAAGTTGAAAGTTTGATGTACACAATGACTTGTATCAGACCATGTATTGCATATGAAGTGGGAGTGGTCAGCAGGTATATGAGCATTCCAGACATATATCATTGGGAGGCGGTAAAGTGAATTCTCAGTTATTTAAGGGGAAAAGTCAACATGACAATTTGCTAGGGAAGTGCAATGATTAAAATCTACAATGATTTATTGATTTAGACCTAGCAGGAGATGTAGATAATTGGAGAAGTACAACGGGATATAATATCTTTCATTGGGGAACACAACAATGAATTGAACTTCTAGATTGCAGAAGATCGTTGCACTTTCAACTACAGAGATCAAATATATTGTTATCACTGAGGCTAGCAAGTAGATGATTTGGCTATAGAGTTTTATGGTTGAATTGGGTAAGGGGTAAGAGATTGGAAAGCTTTACAGTGACAGTATCAGTTGTCAGCCGTTTTTTACACTTCGTGATTTGAAAAAATTGTGGTTTTGTGATTTTAAAAATAATTTAAATATGAATGTAACCTTTTTTATTTTTAAAAGTAATATTTTAATTTTAAAATAGATGAGATCAAACAGGTCTCACATTTTAAATAGTTTAGATAATTGAATACAATACTATAAGTAATACACTTATTCCAAAGAATAAATATATCACTTGTAATATAAATTCAATCACCTTGACTAAAGAATTTGTGACATCCGTTTTGATCTGCGAAATATTTTTTTAAAAAGGCCAACAAGTTCCCCTATCTAACATAAAAAAATAAATAGGGTTTATTTTATCAGGGTTCCAGGTTCCCTATAGAGGCAAGCCTCTATAGTTAATTACATTTTAAATATTCGAAATCACTTAAGAAAATTCTCGATTAAGATCAGGTGGTTTTGCCTTCAAGATTTCAAAGTTTAGGTTTTCAAGATTGTACATGAGAAAATCAAATGAGAAGGGCTCAAAATAGGAACAATTATTTAAGGAATTCAAAGGGAAGAAAAGTAGGGGAT